CATCCCATCCCATCCCATCCCATCCCATCCCATCCCATCCCATCCCATCCCATGGATCCCATCCCATGGATCCCATTCCCAGTTCCCGGGGCTGGCTCTGTGGTCTCTTGCCCTGGGCCGGGCTCCGCTCCGGGGCACCGGGCTGGGACGGTTTGGGCAGGCTCAGCCCGGCTGCTTCCCTCGAATCCCCGCATTCCGGGAGCCGAGCCACATCCATCTCGCATTCCCTGCGGCTCCCGGCAGCAGGGGACTGCTTGGAAAGTCCTGCCGGGCTTGGCAGGCGGGGAGGGCCCCCTGCGCTCCCGGGGCTTTGGCATCCTCACCTCCCCTCGGGACAGATGTGTGCGGGATAAACCTCGGAGCCGCCTGCCAGCCCGCAGGAGCTGCGGCTGCTCGCCTGGAGGGGCTGAGCAGGAGGATCCAGGTGCTTTTCCATAAGATGGCTGCACCATGAAATCCCCTGGCCTTGGACACAACCTAATTTTAAGGCTGATGCACTCCCCCCTGCAGCTCCAGCCTCTGGGTATCAGATGGAACAGAAAATCGGTGGCTGCATCTGCAGTCAGCAGGCACAGCTCTCCCTGCTCCCAGCTCTCACATCCTGCTGGGAGAGGGGAAAACGAGTCTGGCTCTTTGCTCCGGGCAGCCCCAGGGCCGGGACAGGCGTCCCCTCCCCGGGAAATTTGGGGGACCCCGGGCTGGGAAGGGAGCTGGGAAAGCAGAGCCTCCCAGAAAAAGGAGAGACAAAAGGGAAGCTGTTCACAGCCGAGGGAATCAACCTTGGGAAAAATCCATCTCCCACCCCGGAACACTCAGCTGCCCCTGCCCAGGCATCCAGACCCGGCACTAAATCCCACTAACTCCTCCTGCACTGCAGGGATGGGGAATTCTCCTGCCCCCAAACCTTCCCAGCAGCAGGGCTGCGAGTTCTCCCTGGAGCAGGGAAAAGGAGACTTCACACAGCCAAAGGCTTCAGGGTCCGGCTCCTTTGGGCAGGAGAGGCCAGGGCTCGGAGGAGATCCCAATCCCAACCCCGCTCTTGGCTGAAGGCTGGGGGGAGGGAAGAGATCCAGCACTTGGAGATATCCACAGAAATCAGTTTATTTCCCTGCCGTCGGGATTATGAAACCACAGAAGCAGAGTTTAAATATTTACAAAGAAATCCAGCGCCCCGCAGAGATGAAGGGAACAAAGGATGAGGGACGGGGGCTCGGCCTCATCATTCCAAACTCCGCTCTGGTAAAAAGCATCGGGAGCAAACGAGAGGGAATTTCACAGAAGGGTTTTGGAAGTCCAGGGGCCCCCTGACACCCCCAAGTCTCAGCTTTGGCAATTCTTGTAGAGCTCGTGGACAAAACACAGGTTATTGCTGAGGGAGGATCCAGCCCCGGGGCCGGACACGCCAGGGAATCGCGCTGAAGGAAGGCATCCCCCTCTCCACCCGGCTGGCTCACCCTGGGCAGCGGCTCCTGGGCACAGAACAGAGCTCAGAACACTCCATCCTTTCATCCAGGGCCTTTCTGATCAGGATTTTGGCATCCAGGCAGCCCCGGGCCCAGCAGCCTCCATCCCACGCTCTCCCCACGGAAAGGAGCAGCCACCGCAGTGTTCCAGCTCCAGGCTGATGGGGGGACAGAGGGACAACAATGGGCAGGAGGCACGAGGGCTGATTTAGAAGTGACTGAGGAAAAGGGGAAAACACAGAAACGAGCTCAAGAGGAGGGTCCAAGTCTCCAGATGGCTGGAGGAGTCAGGGACGTGGCAGAAGCACATGGGGAGGGGTCTGAAAACCAGCAGGTTGACAGTGGGTGGGCTCCCAGTCAGAGGAAGCTGCAGACATGGCAGGGACCCCAGAAAAGCTTTCCTGCTGGCCACAAGCACTCCTTGAAATGGATTCCTCGGAATCCATCAGCTGCTGGAGTATGAGCTGGTTTTTCAGGTGTGAGTGGAAAAGCTCTTCTCCCCCTCTGCAGGCAGTGGGGACCTGCTCAGCCAGGCCTGGTTTTAAAATTCCCCCTGGCTCAGAGCCCTCCAAAATCAGCTCTGCAGAGCTGTAAAGGGGTTCCAGGTCACATCCAAACTCCCTTCCTGCCTGGTGCTCAGGGACAGCCCCCTCCCATCCTGCTCCTCACACCTGTGCCCAGCTGTGCTGTCCACAGCTCCCCAAACCACTCCTCAATCCCCACCTGGCACCAGCCAGGAGGAAGCCAGGGGCCTGTGCTGCTGCAAACCCAGCCAGATGGGCAGCTCCCAGTGCCTTCCCCTCCTCTCTGCAGCCCCAGGCTCAGCCTCTCTGCCCCAGCTCTGCCTGCGAGACTCGGGGATCAAAGGGAAACAAGTGGCTTGTGAGGATTGCAGCTCCAGATTCGGCAACTGAGAGCACAGGGAGGAGCAGGGGTATTTTCTCTGGCACAAGCTGAAAGGGACAAAGGGCTGTCTCCCAACGCTGCAGCAGGCTCCTGGAGGGCTGCACCCTGCCCCAGCACTCCCAAGGCAGCCCTGCAGCTTTCCTGCCTTTCCAGGCCCAGCAGCAGCACCAGGGCATCTGGCCCTGGCAGTGTCCCTCAGGAGTGTCCCCCTCCTCACCCTCCGCTGCTGGGGCCATCCCCGAGCACTGGGGCACCCCATCCTCCCAGCAAGAACCCCACACTCCCCCCTGGAACGTGTGCTGCTGCAGAGATGTGCCACAGGGAAAACAGCAACTCCCAGCTGGAGAGCCAGGGAACTTGAGGAGGCATCTGGGGAGGGGAGGAAAGCAGGGGATCAGAGAGACCCTCCCAAGGTGTATCTGCGTGTGCCACTGCAGGAGTTTGCCTTGAGGCTTTTCTCAGCACTGAAAGCGAAGGTGCCCACCCCTCTCCTTTCCTGATCCATTCCCACCTCCCCAGCTGCAGAAAGGGAGAGCGCAGAAGCTTCCAGACCCCTGGCACTGGGAGACACCAGCGACAGAACAAAAACAGGAGGAGAAGAAGCCAGCTCCAGGGGACGAAGATGAGCTGTCACGATGGAGTGGGGCTGCCACCTTCCCTGGAAAAGGCTCCCAGAGTCCCAGGGCTCCATCCCGCTGGATCAGCCACAGTCTGTTCCTCTGTGTGCTCAGGGCTGCCATCACCGCAGGTGCAGCGTGAGAACCACGGTCACAATCACCCCCAGAAGGAGCACAAAGGGCAGCCAGGTCTTCACAAACCCCCCTATGCTGCAGGAGGGAAAGGGGGGAAGGTGTGAATGTGAGAAATCAGCAGAGACAAAAGGATGGGAGAATAACTGCAGCAATCAGAGGGAGACAGATGCCTGTTGCTGGCACTGCCACACACCCCACCCTGAAAATGCAGTGTTAAAAACTGAAACTCAATCAGGACCACAATAAATAAATCACAAACAGGGCTGGAGCCTCCTTCCAGCTTAAACTGAGTCAAAGACAAGCCCATTTCGTACCTGCACAGACAGGAATGGTAACAGGCCAGAGAAAATGAAACCTCATTACCACAGGGCTTGTTACTGCCAGTGCTGGTGGATTTATCCAAGACAGCTGGAGCTGCCCTTGCCCAAAAGCAGGCAAAGAAGCTCTTCCAGAACAAGGAAGACTCCACAGAAGTGGAGCTTCATGCAGGGTAGTCTTCACAGAATCTGCTCTTCAGGCACAAGGAGCTGAAAAGGAGATTCAAAACCCTTTCCTTGAGGAAAGCTCGGGGTTTCCCTCCCCACTGGTTGGAAGCTCCACAACAGCTGGAAATCAGAGCAGTTTTTATGTAAACAAGATTCAAGAGAGGGGAGAGAAAGCAGTAATCCTTGGAGAGAAGCCATCCTGTGACCTTATGTTCTGACCTAAGCCAGCCAGGAGACAACACAGAGTGAGATTTGCTCTAGCCAGCATTTCCCAAATTCCAGGCACTCCAAATTAGCAGCCAGAAACAGCATTTTGGGAGCAGCACCTCGTGCAAGCGCTGCTGCTTCTCCTGCTGAGCACAGCACAGTGACAGCACCACCCAGCAGCAACACACCCACGGCTGGGGGGGATGCTCCTCCCTTCTCCAGGGCCAGGGGATGCTCCAGAGGGCTGAGGAGAAGGAAAGAGCCCCTTCTGCTGCCAAATGCAGGCTGTCCCTCAGCTCACCTGACGTATTTCCCATAGAGGAGTGTGAAGAAGCACAGTTTCACCATGTTCCACGAGGTGCTGTTATCGTATCTCATCAAGTTTAAGGCCAGGGCTACGTGGGAATGGCAGTTGTCACAGCAGAGGTTGTGCTGGAACACAAGAAGGGGTCAGAAATCCTGTCCCTGAGGTTTCCCAGTCCTGGTGGACAGCCACATGTCTCAGTCCTGTGACAAGGAGCCAAACACTGGGGAGGGATCCCCCAAACCACTGCGGAGATACGGGATCGTGGGGCGGTTTGGGTTGGATGGGCTTTAAAGCTCCTTGCTCCAACCTGGCTTTGAACATTTCCAGGGATGGGGTATCCAGAATCCCTCTGGGAGCTCCCCAGAGCCTCCCTGCCCCCCTCCCAGCCAGGACAGGAGCTGTACCATGCGGTGCTTGTACTCCTCGGACGCGTCGTGCACGGCCGTGTCCCAGGCATTGGGACCAGTGGCATAGACCTTGCTGGGATCCAGCTTCCAGTACCTACAAGGATGAGAACAGTTTCCTCTGCATTGTTCTGCCTGCTCCTCCCCTGAGGAATCCCGGTCTCCTGAGCTGCAGAGGAGCCACGAGGATCATGGAGCACAACTGCTCATCCTGCACACGCTTAAAGGGCTTGGATAAGCCCAGTGCCTCTGAAATGCAGGGAGCCCAGCTCCTGGAGACAAGCAGAGGCAGCAGAAAGAGCTCAGAACCCTCAGCACCCCAGAGAGACAAATCACAGAGCTCAGGGGGACAGCCCTCAACTGCTCCCACACTCCAAAGGAACCTCTCAGCCATTCTAAACACAAACCTGGCCTGGGAGACACCAAGCCAGGCCCTTCCCGTCCCCAAAGGATGTCAGTGACATCAGCTCATCAGCACAGCCACGCAGTGTTTACCCAGAGCACTTGTTAACATCATCTTAGGATGGTTTAGCCTTTTCTCTAACAAAGGCTCCACACAGCTCTGGTTATTAACACCACCACGCTGCTGTCATGCTGCTAAAGAGATTTCATCTAACGTGGTTTCCTGAAAAGCAGAGACACACAAGAGACACCAAGGTGAAGGAGGGCGGCTGAGCAGCAGGAAAAGCAGTGTCACAGCACCTCTGTCCCCAGGAATTGCAGGGATCAGTTTAATACAGGCAGCACTTACTTCACAGGTTTCCCAAATGCCATGTTGTCTTCCTACAGAAAGAAACGAAAAGGAGAACTGTCTCAGGAGGATGGAGCCAATGTTCAGGATATGGATGGAGCTGGAGGTCTCACAGCTGGCTGAGTGATCCAGCTGCCCCAGACACCAATCCCAGCTGTGCCTGGATTCCCACTGTTCCCACACTCCTGGACTGGCCATATCCCCACTCCACCCACAGTGACATCATTTATCTGCCTGTGCCTTGTTCCCTCCTTTTATTTTGGGGGTTTTTTTAAGTGTTAATATTTTGTTAACTCTTGGTTGCACATGTCTCAGTCTATCAGGAGCATTAGTTACCCCAAATTAAAACTCTCTTTCCTTTCAGAATCCCCTGGACCCTCAGCAGTTTAAGAGTCCTGGCACAGACCTGATGCTGAGCAGCAGGACAGAAACAACCACGCTGAGGCAGCTGAAGGCATTTCTGCTCCCCAGAAATAGGAGAATTCAAGCCCTAAACTCCTAATTTAGAGCTTGGAATACAAGACTTTTTTTCCCCTTCTCCTCACCTAACCAGCCATAATTTATCACAGCCCCAAATGAGCTCCAGTGGAGCAACAGCCACAACCCCAGCTCCTCCAGAAGGCCTGGAGCTGTTATTTCAGCTGGAGAAGGCAGGGCCAGAAGCCCCCAGGGGGGTCCCGGGTACTCACGGACACGAAGTAGGGCCCCGCGAAGTCGCGGATGACGCCGGCAGAGGTGCAGATGCCCATGTGGCCGATGATGGGGAACAGCCACCTGCAAGGACAGGGAGTGTCAGGATCTGTCCCTGCTCACACCACACGGCTGCGAGGGGTGGGAGCCAAAGGCAGGTGAGGGCTGGAAAACAAACCAGGGGAAGCAGAAAGGGAACAGCCCCAGCTCCGCTGGCAGGAGGGTTCTGTTCTGGAACAGAACACCGCACTCCAAAGTGCCCTGCACACCTCCTGGCGAGGCCCAGCCACCCAGACAAACCCCTTTGTGCAGCCAAGCACAAAGATCACATCCTGGAGGAGCTGCCTTGGGATAAAACCGGACTTTCCACTCCAGCAACCAAAAATCAGGTCACCCTGCCCACCTTTCCACAGCAACCTAGATTTAAGCTCTCCAGACAGAAAACAGAGCTCCTGGCTCTAGGAAGAGCATTCCCTCCCCTAAAGGATCCCATTGTTTCACAGACCCTCTCCCTGATGGATATTTACAGTCCCAGGGAGCTGCAGACCTTTATCCCAACCCCCTTCTCATCAGATCTGAATCCCAAACCCTTTCCACCATCAGATCTGTATCCCAACCCACTTCCACCATCACATCTCTATCCCAAACCCTTTCCCTTCCCATCAGATCTGAATCCCAAACCCTTTCCAAGATCAGATCTGAATCCCAAACCCTTTCCAAGATCAGATCTGTATCCCAAACCCTTTCCACCATCAGATCTGAATCCCAAACCCTTTCCACCATCAGATCTGTATCCCAACCCCCTTCCACCATCAGATCTGTATCCCAAACCCTTTCCCTTCCCATCAGATCTGAATCCCAAACCCTTTCCACCATCACATCTCTATCCCAAACCCTTTCCCTTCCCAGACCCACATGCCAGCCTCCTGCCATCACTAGCCCTAGGAGGAAACACTCCAGGTCACGTTCCAGCCCTCTCCCACATGCTCTGGCATCCTCAGGTTTGCTGATCTCCCCGATTTCTCTCTCCTCTCTCCCTGAGGGACTGAGTGGCTCTGGCAGCCGCTCCCAGTGGGGTTAGGAATGTTAAAAAGCTCTGGAAAATCCTCCAGGAAGAAGCTGAGGTGAAAATTTTAAGCAATCAGAAAAGAAAAGAGATGAAAGAGATGAAAGAGCCGGCAAGAGGAGGAGAGCTCCGGGCCGCTCCCGATCCCGGCACACCCCACACCACATCTCGTACCTGGCTGCGGGCTCGGCAAACATCACCCGACGGGACCCGAGGGGAAGGGGAAGGTGGAAAAACAAGTCCCGCTGTGCCCAGACAGCCCCCACAGCCACAGCTTTCCCCGTTCCCACGGCCAGAGCACAACTCCCAAGTTTTCCCTGGAGCCTGCCCACACTTGGCTGGCGAGCCTGGGAAGGCGAATCCGGTCCCGGCTCACGGGAAGCAGCGCACGGAGCCTCCCCGGGACACGGAGCCTCCCCGGGACACGGAGCCTTCCCGGGACACGGAGCCTCCCCGGGACACGGAGCCTTCCCGGGACACGGAGCCTCCCCGGGCACGGCCGCTCCC